CTCTAGGGACCTAGGAGAAAAGAGGGACAAAAAGGGGATTACTGTCTGGAGGGAAGATAACCCTAGACCTGGCCCTGAGTGTCAAGGGAAGGATTCAAACTGGGGAGCAGCAAGCTTGGGACCCGTGCAGAGAACGGGGCAAGCGGCCGGGATAGAGTGCCCAGAACCAGGGGACAGAAGCCCGGCGATGACAACTGAGAATAGCAGGCGTGGAACATCTGGTGTGGATAGGGCAGGGGATGGGGATGGTGGAGCCCTATCCACCATCCCCATCCCCACCATCCCCATCTCCTATGAAGAGGAGCTGAATCCTTGAGTTAACAGCCATCTTGTCTCCTAGGAGTATTTCTATTTTTCCTCCTTTCCATCAAAGTCATGGCAGGCGAGCTCTAAAGAACAACCAATACTAGCAAGAGACAATGACTCAACTCCAGGGGATATGGCATTGACCTTCACCCCCAAAAAAACTCAATGACTTGTAGTCCAGAATCATGTAACACTGGAAAATTGGGAATTAAACTGGAAGGTTATACAAACACTGTATAAACCTCTAACAACCTAGGCCAAGTAGCTTTCTGGAGATTGATAGAAAAGGCAGACTTATACCATAGTGTGTACACTAGGGCTGTGCAAACCAGACCCTATTCAATTCGGATCCAGCCCAAATCAGGGACAGTGATTCGATTTGTTGATTTGGATCACTGTCCCTGATTCGATTCGGCTGAGTCTGAATCTGAAGATTTGATCCTGATTCAGAGAATAAGCGATTCGGACATAGACGCAGCTTTAAAAGATTTTTCTACGTATTTTGAGGTAGCAGGCACGGCTCGTGATTGCTGCAATGCTGGGGCGCATGGAGCGTCCCACAGCAGTGCAGGGGGGCCCTCCATGTGGTTGGTGGCAAACCTGGAAGTGGACCAGAAGTACTTCTGGCTTACTTCTGGGTCTCCCAGGGAATGCACTGGGGGGCCCCCCCAAGCCCAGCGATCAGCCACAGGGGGATCCCAGATGCCCCCCCAGACCCAGAAGGCACCAGTCACTGAGCTGGGGAGGAGACAGGGGGGCCCCCCAGCACGCTCCCCGGCAGATCCGGAACTGGACTAGAAGTGCTTCTGGTCCACTTCCAGGTCTGCTGCCAAGCACACTGGGGAGCCCCCTGTGCTTCTGTGTGATGCTCCATGCACCCCAGCATCACAGCGTTCACAAACCCCTGCTACCTAGAGGTATGTAGAAAAAACATTTAAAGCTGTGCCTATGTCTGAATTGCCGAATCTTTCCGAATCGATTCAGAGGGTTCGGATTTGATTCAGAGAGCTGAAGGGTCCTCTGATTCTATTCGGATTCGGAGATTCTGTCACTGAATCAGGCCGAATCTCCACCAAATTGAATCAGGGAACACAGCTTTGCACAGCCCTAGTATACACCATGTGTGTACAACCATGGTGTACAGCAGGAACAGTGCAGAGGTGCATCACCCAACAGATGTGATATGAGACAATATACTTAATACAGGTTCTAGAGAAGCAGCAGGCAATTATTTTTGCCCAGGGCCACATAGGCAGTTCTGGAGAGCTGCTATGGGCCAGTCAGCACCCCTTCTCCCCCCACCCAACAGCTCAGAGCCCATTTACCACCACCAACAGCACATAGGCCCCCGGCCCACCCCACCTTTCTAGGCAGCCCAGGCAGTGGAGGCAGATCCTTCTGGCTGCCACCACCACTGGCCCAAGCACCACAGTACTGGCAGCGACCCACAAGCACAACCCTGACCCTGGCCTACCCTGTCCCCACTCCGGACCCGGCCCAGCAGAGCGGGTCAGATCCAGACCAGCCAGAACCCACATACAGCCCCTACCCATCCTGCGCCTGCTCCAAACTCACCTGCCTGTGCTGAGCAATAGTAGCAGCAGCAGCCGCCAGGCCCCTCCCCCTCGCTGCTGCCAGATGCTTCTTGCTGTAGCTGCCTGGAGCCCAACCCTGGACTACCCTACCACTCCTCTCCGCTGCTGTCTCCAGGCCACCCAGCAGGGCAGCGGTGGCAATGGAGAGGAGCTGCAAGGCAGGTCAGGTGAAGGCTCCAGGCATCTGCAGCAAGAAGTGCCTAGCAGTGGTGAGGGGCCGCTTTTCCCCCCACTGAGCAGCAGCTTCTGCCTGGCTGCTGCTGCTGCTCAGTGTGGGTAGGCAAGTCCAGAGCAGTCCCAGGGCAGGTTGGGGCAGGGCTGTGTACGTGGGTCCGGATGGTCCAAAGCTGGTCTGCCCTCCTAAGCTGAGTCTGGAGTGGGCACAGGGCAGGCCGGGGTCAGGGCTCTGTGTGTGGGTCTCTGCCAGTACCACGGGGCTGGGGCCAGTGGCAGCATCAGCCAGAAGGAGCTGCCACTGCCTGGGCTGCCTAGAAAAGCAATCTAGCTGTGGAGCTGCCCCCGCCCTGCTGTGTGCCCACAGAGTGGCAGGGCGCACCACAGGATGGATGGTACTTGGGCCAGGCGAGAGCAAAGGACCTGCCATGGGCCGGACAAAGTCCCTCCATGGGTCGAATGTGGCTTGTTGGCTGTATTTTGCCCATCCCTGCTCTAGAGCAACCCTTTGAGTGAGCTGTCTGTGCTCCTCTATGCCTAAGCATTTTCTTCCTACTTTGGGCAGGCTTGTGCCAAAAATGGCACAGGCCCTGAGATCCCAGGGACTCCCACTGTGTTTGACTCCTCAAAGAATCTGGGTAGGCCTGATATATATGACTAACCAAAAGTTGTTGTTTTTGTGAAAACTGGAAGTTATTTTCAGTTTTATATTAAACCTAGAAATCAGAGAGTTTGGTATTCATTCAAAAAGATTTAAACACACAAACAACTGTATATATTTTTTAATGAAGTAGTATAATAAGTTGACCAGAGGCAAGTGAGAACAAAAACACTGCACCAAACATCCCCAACCTTTGGGACAGCACTTGACATCCAAATCTGAATCTGGTTTTTGCAAATGCCTTCCATCTTTATAGGCTGAAACAAAACCACAGAAACACAGAACAGAACCCCTTCCTCCCAACACCAGGATATGTGAAGATCCAGCATTCCCAGAACCAAGCAGGGATACTCCACAGAATGAACAAGGTCTTCCAATCAAATAAGAATCTTCCCTCCACCGTCAATCCCCTCCCTTCCCCTCTGTGCTCAGTGACACATTCCCTCCCTTCCATTCTTCCCTCTTCTTTCACCTGCCACTACCGCTGTCTCCAGCTACCCCAAGGGCACAGAAGGGAGGCTCCAGAGCTGCTCCTGACCTGCTCCGGCTGGGCTGAGCGGGGAGCTAGAATTGGCCAGAGACAGCAGTGGCAGTGGGTGTGGTCCCTTCCCCTATGCCTGCTCCCGGCCTAGTAGAAGACACCAGGAGGAACTTGCTTGTTGATGTTGCTGTCCCTGGCTGAGCCCAGTTCACAATGGAGCTTGGCTGGAGCAGGGCAGGAGCATCTATGAAATCCTCCTGCGCCCGTGTCAGCATGGAAAGCAGCGGGGAAAGCAGCAAGGGAGGGGGAGAAATGGGAGGGGATAGGGTGTACCATAAAGGTAAATGAGGGGCAGAATTCTTACTTCCTTCAAGGAATTAAAAATTAGCCCCTGACTGCTGTCCCCACAGTGTTGACTGAAGGGGGGGGATGTGTCTGTGCCACTGCACCCCCTCTGGGTCCACCCTTGCCTGCATCCATTTATGGCTTTTCTGATGCTTGCAAAATACATCATGATTTTTGAGCATCATAATCATGCAAGAGGATTCTGGTACTTGTTCTGTTTTTCACAGAAAGGGAATGGAAAGCCACATGCTGATTTCTGGAGTAAGGCTTGCCTGCAGGTGGAAAATTGACCCGTGTATACCAGAATAAGCATGATGATAAACTTCTAAGCTCTGACAAGCTCTTACTTTGTTATAAGAATTGTTCAAAATGCAGTGGTTTTACTTTAAAGGTCCCATGAAAACATTTTCCTGCAGAGCTATCTTGACACAGGCTTTAGAAAGGAAATGAATAAGAGGAACTTGATAGAAGGTTATTATAAAACAGCAATGGTTTAGAGCAGTGGTTCACACACCTTTTCTGGAGCAACCTTTCTGTCAACTCTCAATATATCTCACAGACCATGATGAACACCTGTCATCAAACTTTTAATTGAAAACACTAAAAGGGTGCACAGGATTTGGTGTGATCTGAAGAGCACTTAATATGTGGTCGCAAACCACCAATACTCAATGGGCTACAATTTGTGATCCGCTGGTTCAGAGAACATAGATCAGGAACTTTGATAATGAAGTAAACAAGGGCCCCCTCTACAAGTTACACTTAAGGCATGATTAACTAGGTATTCATGCCTTAAGTTGTGCCCAGCTACACATTCAGCCAATTAATGGCATAAAACAAACAATAAGTGACAAAAGTTATTCTACAAAAAATGTGAAATAACTTTGTAGCTTGTTCTAATCATGCCATTAATTAAACATGTGGCCAGATGCCCCCCTGTGGCTGGGAGCCCCATTAATTGAGGGGCTTTCAGCCACAGGGGTGCACACGAGGGGTGCACTGATAGACATTTTGGGGGCCGATACTAATAGCTGATTCGTAAGGAGGCATATCGGCCAACACAGATCTGATTTCCGATACAGCTGACTCTAGATGGTAAGTCTGTTGGGGTGAAAGGGGACGGTGAGGGAAGGGGTGTGGGGGGAGCAGATCAATGCCCCCCGCATTGAGGGAATGGGGCTGGGGCTGCCCAGCCCGGGTGGGGCAGGTGCGGGACGGAGCCAGGGCTCATCCAGGGGCCGCAGGGAGTTGGGGGTGGCTCCCACCATTGTGCACTGTTCATCTGGCGGCTCCCGCTGCTTGTCTGAAAGGGCACAGGGTGGGGGGTGGGGGTGTGCCCCCGGATCCGCGTGGGGCGGGGTGGAGCAGGGTGGGCTGCAGCTGTGGGCTAGAGCCAAGCGGTGGGAGCAGTGGTGGGATGAGCCGCCAGACAAGCAACGCACAGTGGCAGGAGCCACCCCCCACCCCGACAAGTCACAGCTCCATCCTGCATTCACCCCATCCAGACAGCGCCTACCCTAGCCCCTGCCCCACTCCCTCCCTCACCGTGGGGCATTGATCTGACCCCCCCATGCCCCTTCCCTCCCCCCTCCCCTTCCACCAGCTGGACTTACCGGCTGGACACAGCTCTCCAAACTGCTGGGCTTGTGCTCCTCGCTGCCTGTGTGCTGCAACTGCGTGCATACACAAGCATTTATTGGCCAAATTATTGGCCACTTCAGGTCAATTTCCGATATAGTCAATTTTCTTTATATCGGTGCCAATCTGATATCGGACTGATGTATTGGTGCACCTTTAGTGCACACCCACTTCCAGCCCCTTTGCCTGCATGTGTAGAGGGGCCCTAAAAGGTAGGAAATTCAAAGACAATAAAAGGAAATACTTCATATAAGAAAGCCGGGTCAAATCACGTGATTAAACTGAGGAATTCACTGCCACAGGAAGTCACTGGCATCAAGAACTTAAGATTCAAAAGAGGATGGGATATTTATACGGATATCAAGCAGTAACACAACAAAAATTTGGAAGGGCCATTCATCATTGTGTTTCGGGGTATAAGCCAATCTCTAAATAGGACTCATTCTCATTTCTAAAAAGTCACAGGAAAAGGCAGTCCTACATTTGCCTACCATCCTCTCAAACATCTGGTGGTGGTCACAATCAGATTCAGTTCTGAACTATACGGATCTTACAGTTCCATAGTGTCACATGGCAATTCCTATATTCCACCTGGGTTTACTTTTTTTTCCCCTGGATTTTGAAGCGCAAATGTCAGACATCCAGTCAATCTGTCCAGATCTACCCAGTTCCATTTCAGAGCCTTCTGAAATTTTGCTTGTCTTTTTAATGGAACAACACCTCGTACATGTCTCTTATTAACCACTTTCTTCTCCTATGGCATAATCTAAAAAATCCTAAAACAGAGGAGGATCCAGAAGCCAGGCTTTTTTTTTTCCTACCTAAATCCTAAAGGGTTTAATTTAGTAGGCTGCTATCCTGAGGATTCACAGCAGCCTAACACACAAAATGCAATGCAAAATGGCAGTTGTCATCTGGCTATGGGTTATTCTTGGAAAAAGGGCTGTTCCAAAAACAAATCAGTTTAGCTTCGCTACACCCCCAGTGATATAAGCAAATATTTATCATCTGTATTTTCAGATAAGGAAAGTTTCATTGTTAAGAAGTTACATTATTAACCCACATTGACAGCAGAAATAAGACCCCAACGCATATCCACATTAACTACATCATTAGCAAATGATTGGGCAAATTTGTTTTGAATTTAGAGTTCAAAGACAGAAAAAGGCTTTTAGCTATAATGCATGCATGGCATACTATGGACACCAACATTTGTGTGCCAGTGACACATTATTACATAGTGATAACTTTCAATTTGCACTCATTTTTCTCTGCTTCATTTAGCTCACATTAGTATCACTTGTTGTGCAGTCAGCATTGATAAAATCTTCAGAAGGGGACTTTGACACCAAAGTACATATTGTTCCAGAAAAGAAATGGATTTACCTTTCTTATCTCTTTCATGATCTTCCATATTACAGGGTCTAATTAGGCAAGATATTTCTGTTTAAACATCAAGTTTCTCTCTCTCAGCCTCCCTCTTCCTTTTATTTTGTCCAGCCACAGATAATCCATTTGTAATATCACAATTATGATAGGAAACTGATGTCACAAAGGCCGGCAGTTTAATTGGAAGTATTAGGCAGAAAGAACTGGTAAGAGGGAAAACTCTCTTTTCAAAATATACTGGGCCATATCCTGAGTTCTTCATTCAGTTTCATTCATTCCTTACACGAGCAACTCTCAGGGTCAAATTCAACATTACCCTGTGCTTTGTTTACCTATTTCAGCTACTGCAGAGTGGATGAGATCTATTCTGATTCAACAGTATTAAATATGCTAGCATAAATGAGTACATGAGATGCAGAATAGTGGGTGAACTGAACCCCTTGGTTTTCAAAGGGTGCTTTGTCTGATGGAAATTGAGCAAGGACTTCTGGACTTTCAGTATCAAGCAGAATACAGAAAATCATAGCTAGCCAATGCCTTTGGACATATGGTTCAATACTGTTTAGTGCTGTAGGTTAGCTGTGCAGCAAAAAAGTCCCACAAAAACACTCTTTGTGTATGAAAAGTTCTGAGTCTATGACGTGTCTACAATTTCAGTTGAGGTAGATTTTTTCTCATTTCAAATACATTCCTTAATTTTTTTTCCCCCTCTTTTTTAAAAACTTTACAGCAGAGCTAGGCCAGCTTCTATCTTCACTGCTTTTCATGTCATTCATTTCTGCTAGCTCTTTGAATCAAGCAGTGTGTTTTCTTCATCAGGTGGCTGCTTAGGCTTGATGTTTCCTCTTAAGGTTAAAAATGAGTATCTCAGTCCTCCTGCCATACTAAAGAAGAAAGAACAAACACAATGTCAGGGGTATTTGCTGTGGTAAAAATGACTATTTTATAGATTTCATAGACATTACATAGACATTAGGGCTGGAAGGGACCTCGGAAGATCATCGAGTCCAGCCCCCGTAGATCTATAGTAGCTTTGTTTCCAAAGGATTTCGAAGTACTTTGCAGACTAAATGCCATATTCTTGGCTGTTGTGATTTAGAGAATACCAGTGCTGATTTATATAAATTTGCCAATATGGCCCTGAATATTATAGGGAACAAAAATCAATGGGATTCACATAGGGTGGGATAGAGCAGCCAATAAGCACTGAAAATATAACAGACACTAAAGAAAAAAAGAGTAATGATTATTCTTCTTGAAACTACACCATGCTGGTGTCATGGTTTTGTAACAACTTGGAGGGAAGAGAATAACATTCAATCAATATTCCCATGTCCTGCACCACTCAGATTTTCCTTGGATGTCTCTCAAGTTAGTGTTGGGTAGGCCCAACCCTGCTCATAAAAAATGAGCTCACATTCCTAAAGTAATAGCAGTAAATCTAAATAATAAAAACCCTACCATGATACTGTACATGTCTGGAAATAAACATAAAAGTATGTAATAAAAATTAAAACTAATTATATAGAATTTTATATCCTGAAACAGCATATGGCAGATGTGTTTCAAAATGCCATTACCCAAAGTGGCTAACTGAAACAAATACCTAACTGTTCCTCACTGAGTCCTTAGTTTTAGCAAATTTCACTCACCAAATATTCAGTCCTATGAAGTTTAAAAATGAGAATATGTAATCTCCACCAAACAACATTCCAATATAAGCGATGGATACATTCTGAAAAGAAAGCAAGAGTCATGTATTTACTGAAAGATGTTTTACCTTCTGAGAATTTAAACATCACAAAGTTAATTTGCTTGTCTACATTTTCATTTATTGGCCCTCTTAAAACCTACTAAGATTATTTATAATTTATAAGCAATACATTTTAAATGTATTCCTTAAATATGATGAATTTACTAAAAGCTAATTTAGGTGCAAGTTTTTTTTAAGGATCAGAAATTCAGTTTTATTATGATTTTTATGTATCTTACTTGCAGGGCATATTTCCAACTCAGCCCAACCTCCCTTTTTCAAGTGTAAATCTCATCATTTGAACCATAACATTCTGATTTTTGCTCACAAGTGTGTAGTAGTGCTGGTATTCAGATTGAAACCAGCTGTTCAAATGCAGGCATAAACCTGTACCTCCAAGAATGGTAACCACCTTCTGAAAAATTTTCTATAAAATGTTAAGACTCATTTCACTCCCGGTTTCCTGAAAATAGGTTTTCAAGAAGAGGAAAAATATTTTAAACTAAAACAAAAGTTAATTTATTAGTTTTCTAAAAGGGTCACTGTCTTGCTTTGCAGATTTAAAAGACAGCTAAGCATGTAGCTCTAATTTGGTGTGGATACAACTGTTAATCCAGAGACATCTTTAACTTAAAAAAAGAAATCCTACAGACAGACAGACAAATAAAATGCTAACTGGTATACTACTTTGTCAATACTATGCTGTTTTAATGCCTTGCATGATTATTAATAACCCCATATTTACTGGGATGTAGAATTAGAAAGTACCTTCCAAAACTGAAAAAGGAAATTTTCAATAGGTAAATTAGAAACTCAAAGGTAAAAATAACATGTCCTAAATGAAAGCTAACCTCAAGCAATTTACACTTAAATTGCACTAAGCAACTGTGTTTACCTTCCACCTCCCATAAGATCAGAGAGTGCATATATGTCTTTACCACAGAGCAGCTAACATGTGTGTAACAGGGGGCCTTCTCAGGGCCAGTCCTCCACTGGCCCGCCCACCTGTTCCTGGGCTAACTGCCTGCCTCGCTCCCCTGCCGTGCATGCCCTGTTGTTTCATAATTGGTTCTAATTAGGCGGGAGGCTGCCCCTTCTTGCCCCGATGCCAGGGGCGCTCTCTGCGGCTCCGATCCCCCCCCACACTGCAGCCCAAGCCTCGCAGATGGCATCCAGGTGACACAATGCTCCCGGCCTACAGCCAGACTAAGCTTAGCCCTCATTGCCAGGCCTCATTCATACACGCACTCATACCGCCCGCCTCTCACGCTCCAACCCCTCTCACAGGGTCTCTCTCATGCAATGACAACTTATACTGCCTTGCTCCCTCTCGGAGCAGACCCCTTAGGCCATTGCCTTTATCTAGCACACACCCTGGGTGGCACACATACTGTCTTTTGGGCCTCTCCTGCGACCCTCAAAGGGGTACTGGCCAGCCAATTACCTGACCTGAGCCAAACTTGCCCTGGCCCCTCCCAGGGCAACTACACAAATAGGCACGCACGCGCACGCGCACACACACACACACACGGCTCCTAGCGCTTTGGTTTCCCCCCTTGACTGGGGCTCCATGTCTACCCCCTCACTGGAGCTACGGGGCTTCCCTCCGCAGTGGAGGCTCAGGTGGCCGTAGCTGTACCTGGCCCTGACTTCTAACCACAGTGATGTGAGGGCTAGGGGTTACTGAGGCACCCCGACCCGCCTTCCATCGGGGTGGTAACTGGCCTGGCATTTCCTGGGGGCTCCCGAGCCACTGGGAGCCCTGCTAGACCCACTCCCAGCAGGGTGCAGTTTATGTAATGCCCAGGACCATGAGCCTCCTGCTCCTAGCTGCAGATGTTCCATTCAGCAGTTCAGCCAGGCAATGTTTCTGCCTGCCCTGCCAGTAGCGATCTGCTCTGTTTATATAGGCAGCCAGTGTCTCAAAATGACTGCCGCAATCAAGCACCTGCTGGCTGTTTGGCTCAGCCCTTAAAATGGCAGGCACCAACAGTGCCCTGCCATAATGTGCAAGTCACTGTCCCTTTTTGCTCCACATTAAATGGCCTGTATGTCCACACCCTTAGGCCTTATCCACACTGCACTGGTGTTATTGTAAACTGGCTGAGTTAAATCAGTTCAAAAGGCTGTCTGGATAGTTCAATTTCAGTTTAAGCAAGGCTTATTTTGGTTTTGATGAAGACAATTCTTAATCAGTTTAATTTAAACTAAGATAAGTCACTAAAATCAGAGTATCCATACAAGGGCTTCCATTAGGCCAACTAAAAATAGCTAAAATCACATATCTGACTAAACCAGAATCACTTTTACATGTAGACAAAACCTGAGTTACATCATCAAGAAAATATCCTGATTTCCCTAGTGTGGATCTCCTGTGTTGCAAAATATTGCATTGCCACCTAGATGCAGGGTATATCTTTATTAGGGCTGTGTGAAATGGGCCCTATTCGATTCGGATTTGGCCCGAATTGGGGACAGTGATTCGATCTGTTGATTTGTATCACTGTCCCTGATTCAATTCGGCCAAATCTGAATCTGAAGATTCGATGCTAATTCAGCGAATCAGCAATTCAGACACAGGCTCAGCTTTAAAAGTTTTTTTCTACATACGTGGAGGTAGCAGCACAGCTCATAATTGCTGCAATACTGAGGTGGATGGAGCATCCCACAGGAGCACGGGGGTCTCTCCAGAGTGTTTGGCAGTGAACCCGGAAGTGGACTGGAAGTACCCATGCCCCACCCCCGTTCAGCGATCAGCCATGGGGGGACCCCAGGTGCCCCCCCAAACCCAGGAGGCACCAGTCCCTGGGGAGGGGGGCCAGGAAGTGGTTCTGGTCCACTTCCGGGTCTGCTGCCGACTGCACTGGGGAGCCCCCTGTGCTTTCATGAGATGCTGCATCTGCCCCAGCATCACAGCTTTCACAGCCTCTGCTACCTAGAGGTATGTATAAAACACATTTAAAGCTGTCTCTATGTCCGAATTGCTGAATCTGTCTGAATCGTTCCAAATCGATTTGGAGGGTTCCAAATCGATTTGGAGAGATTAAAGGGTCCTCTGATTCAATTTGGATTTGGAGATTTGGCCACCGAATAGGGCCAAATCTCTGCTGAATCGAATCAGGGACCAAAGCTTCGCACAGCCCTAGTCTTTATGTTGAGTTCCACACGAATACAGCCAGCCATTATAAAACATAATCAAGACACCTGGGGACTGAAGACTCTACATTGTCCGTTTCAATATTCCCATTTCTCTTTTGCCTTTTACAACTTACTTTAATAGCACCAACCACCGCTGTTGTAAGTGCAGAATTGTAGTGACTGCACAGGACTGTAGAATACATTAAGAGAAACCTGAAGTAGGGAGACAAATCTTAGTAAGTCCATTCCATGTGAATCTATTACATAAGTAAACACCATAAAATAATGAAATTTCCTGTTACACTAAAATAAAATTTTATGTAGTTATAAAGTTTGAAAATAAAGAATATTTGCTTGACATGGAGTTTTATTAAGTACCTTACAGAGTAGCTCTTTAAGGGGAAAAATGTGCCACTTTTTCTTTTGTGGCATTTATATCTGTATCCAACTTGTAACACTCATATGTGGGGAGAAAGAACTTCTAAGAGGTGCTGAAAATCTTCTTCAGTTATTAATACCAATATGAGTTGAGGATGGATCAGTAACATTCAGAGGTGCTCAGAACTGTAAGTGATCAACAGTTCACAGGTGGATGAGAACAGGATGAGAATAGGATGGGTTTCAATACGGACAAGTGCAAGGTGTTGCACCTGGGAAGGAAGAACCAGCAGCATACCTACAGGCTGGGGAACTCCCTTCTCGTCAGCACAGAGGCAGAAAAGGATCTTGGAGTCATTATTGATTCCAAGATGAACATGGGCCGACAGTGTGGGGACGCACTCAGGAAGGCTAACCACACCTTGTCGTGTATCCACAGATGCATCACGAGCAGGTCCAAGGAGGTGATCCTCCTCCTCTACGCGACATTGGTCAGGTCGCAGTTGAAGTATTGCATCCAGTTTTGGGCGCCACACTTCAGGAGGGATGTGGACAGCATCGAGAGGGTCCAGAGGGCCACTCGCACGATTAGGGGGCAGCAGGGCAGGCCCTATGAGGAGAGGCTACGAGACCTGAACCTGTTCAGCCTCCACAAGAGAAGGCTGAGAGGGAATCTCATGGCCGCCTATAAACTTGCCAAGGGGGACCAGCAGGCAATGGGAGAGTCCCTGTTCCCCCGAGCCCTACCGGGGGTAACAAGGAACAATGGCCATAAATTGACTGAGAGTAGATTCAGGCTAGATATCAGGAGGCGCTACTTCACTGTCAGGGCAGCTAGGAGCTGGAACCGACTTCCAAGGGAAGTGGTGCTCGCCCCTACCTTGGGGGTCTTCAAAAGGAGGCTAGACAGCCACCTAGCTGGGGTCATTTGACCCCAGCATCCTTTTCTGCCCATGGCAGGGGGTCGGACTAGATGATCTGCTTAGGTCCCTTCTGACCCTACCAACTATGAAACTATGAAACAGGGATCCTGGTTTTCTCTAATAAAAAAAATCCCAATTTTTGGATTAAAAAAATAACTCAAAATCCACATTTTTCCGTGATTAAAATGAAACACCACTAATATATAGATATCGCTATATCTATTAGTAGATATATCTATATATTAGTAGATATATTAGTAGATATATCTATATATTAGTGGTGTTTCATTTTAATCACAGAAAAATATATCTATATTAGTGGTGTTTCATTTTAATCATTGAAAAATGTGGATTTGGGAGATTTTTTTTTATCAGAGAAAAGCAGGATCCCTGGTGATCAATATCTTACAGGAGATTTCAATTCTTCTTGTCCCTTTAAAGTATATCTACCTTCTGGGAAAAAAGCAACTCTAAAAAGGACACTGTAGGATTACTGTTTTGTTTTCTTTCAATGACTCTACACCAAATTTATTCAAAATACAAGTAAAAAGAAAAAAACTCTTTCTAAATATCAACTGTACAAGCCCTATCTGAGATGTGAATCAGGTTGCGTTCTCTATAAGCTATCACACCACCAGTAATGCAAATGACATTATTTAAAATTAGCTGACTCTTGGGTTGATGATGTGAGAGAGAGAACAGAATTCAGCTGGCTTTTCTAGCCTCCTTTGGCTCTGCAATGCTAACTGTATTTTTTATTGTTATTCATCATTTTATAGAGTCCAAGTTGTGCCAGGTACTTCAAAGAGCAAATAAACAGAAAGAGACCCTAGCCTACCGACCTTACAATCTATTAACTGCAGAGAGAGAAACTCATGGAACTGAAAGAGACAAACAAGAGAGATTTAATAAAAAGGTAACACTTTTCTAACCAATACATTTTTAAGGACAATAAAAACTGTTTGGATCTAGTCCCTTGTCATTAAACATCTCCTGAAAGTCTCTCTCCCACATTTTAGTAAAGTACATTCTCTTAGAAATTTCCGTAGACCTACTTTGAGGATTTTACTTTTGAGATTTGAAATAATAGTACCCCAAACATTGACATTTATCAAACTATATCCTTACCCCAACAAGCAGGAAAGAAGAAACTGAAAGAGAAATAAAAAATTTGTCCAGTGCTTGAAATCGGTGGCCTATAAAAAAAGCAAATATATGATTAGATGCCATATGATTAAAAGCATATATACATACATGGAGAATATGGCTAAAATGAAAATATGAAAAAATACTAAGATACATACTGGAATTATGAAGGGTCAATATTCATATTGGAAACAATTTACAAATTTAACTCAGTAAATAACAAGTTAATGGTAAGAACAAGTTACAAATTTAGTTTATTTGTAATACAGTCTTCAATGGCCTCTGTCATTACTTAACTGTAGAAGACTGATATGGTAAAATGTGTCTGGAAAGCACAATGCAACCAATGAATACTAATTTACACTTCAGACAATTGGTGATTTGAACACCCATTTATGCATGGAGTTGATACTGTATATCATTATATACAATACATTATATACATCATATATAGTAAAGCAGTCTTTACAGTAACACTATAAAAAGCTATAAAAATAAATCTCTTTCCCTCAGAATGTACCTATTCCAAATAATAGGACTGTTAGTCTACAGATTTTAGGGTCTGATCCTGTATCTACCAAAGTCAAAGAGATCTTTATTACAGTTTTCAATGAATATCCAGCAGATGTAAACAAGGGGCTTCATAAATGGATTTACAGCATGCAAGAAACAAGAGTTTTTGTGGGTGATAATTTTTATTGGACTTACACAGGCTTTCAAATGCAGGTTACCTAAAGGAGAATGCACTGTGACCATGAAGCTGATCCAATAAAGGATATCATCCACAAAAATCCATTCCTTTCATGTATTTCTTGAACTATCAAGGCTACAACATCACTCCTTTACTGCATGTTGTAATTCAGGAACTGATGAACATTCATGGAAATTTGAGATTTATTTAGCTCTGCATAATTGTGATTTGCCAATAGTGGGGCATAAAAGGTAAAGGCGGCATACAATTGAGCCTCTACTTTTTTCAAACCAGACCCCAAATTATTTGGCTGTAGTGGCTGATGGGAGTAAACAATTTGGTTGACCTTCTACCTTTTCAAAGACCCATTATATTATGCAAAGCCTTAGGTAAGGATGGTTAGCTTAACACCATTCTCACATACAAGTATTGAGCAGTATTTTCTTCTTACTGCAAAAACAAGAATGTGTGTATCCTTAAGAAGTCTTCACACTGCTCCCTGAAAATAGAAACTTGTAAAAAGAGACATCAGAACACTCCTTCATTCTAACAGAAGTAGTTGGCAACATGGAAGGAAAAGTCTAGTTCAAATACTTCATTTATCACATTAATTAAGAAGTCAAAACATCATATTGAAGACTGTTTTTTGTGAAAGAGGACAATAGAAATCAAAATTATACATTGGCAACTATTAATTATATTAGGTCACTTCCCCCCCTACTGACCACTGAGACTACTGCCAGCACCCAAACTAGTTAGTTTAAATGATTGAATATGCAGCCATAAAAAAACTGGAATCATAACTGTTACAAAGAAGCATCAAAGAGATTTCACTTTCTCTCTTTTTCTTTTTCAGTTCACATTCTTGGAGTAAGATGTGCTAATAATCATCCAGCAGGGCTATGGACAAGTGACTGACTAAGACACTCAGACTGCATTGTTTATGAGATGCTCTATTTTATCAACTCTGCACTAGTCAAGGGAAGCGGAAAAAAAATTTCCTCCATTACCCATACTGAATATAAATATTTTGGTTGGCACCGCCCATCACAGCAGAGACTGTATACTGCTCATGATGGACTGAAGTGTAAACCCTGACGAGGTAGCAGAAATACAATGAAAACTCCTGTTATCTGACAATCAGCTAAATGAAAGCTATTATTTACACTAATTTAGAAATCATTCAACGGTTTCTCTGCATTTTATGTTATTTTAATTACCAGATAGATACCGAGCACATAAGAAGCTAACTGTGCAGTGGCCAAATAATACTGCACAGTAGAGCACCACAGAACCAACAGTGCCAATACACTACTACACAGTAGTGTTACTAAAAAGGTGTTTGCCAGCACTACTGTGCAGTAACTCCAGTTACTGTGCATTTATTTAGTATTTGATTACACAAGTGCTAAATAAATGCCCAGTAACCTCTGCGCAGTAGCGTCTCGTATAGATGCACCCATTGTGTTTCCTCTCCAAAAGTAATGGGACTTAATACTAATAGATTAAATTAAACATATTCTCAGTAGCTGTGATAGATTTGTTCTTTTTTAAAAAAAAAGAACAAAAAGATAATTGAATTGCTTTTTAAAAGTGCCAGATAAACATCCCAGGACAATTAAATCCTTCCTCAGACCAGTGTATAACCACAGCAGTAAACTTCCTTGTGCACTGCCACTGAAATGCCTCCACCCTTTCAGTCTTCTACAGTTAAACCCTATTACCATGTAAAAATTTGGGCCTCCACTGAAAACACAAACAAGGCTGTTTGATATGCTTTTGAAATAGACAATAGTTCACTAAACTAGACTGAGGCTACAAGATGATATTTCACACAGAGGACAGAACTTCACCATAGTAAAGTAATGGCAGTATTTAAAAAATACACTGGTATAAAAATGTCACGGCCTGTTAAGTGCACAACAGCAGGTAACTGGTAAATACTAACTAAAAGGAAACTACTCAAAGCAGCAAGGGCCACCTATACACAAGTGCAGAGGTTGCTCCAATGCACTGGAATTCTAGTGTGCTGGAGGAGCAGACTCAATTAATCGAGCCTGCTGGAGTATGGCAGCTGCTGTGCTCCAGCAGCCTCCTGCATCTCATATATCAGTGTCCCCGCACTTAAAAATGGCGGCAGGAGGACTTGAACAGGTGTGCTCATTCGACAAGCTTTAGTTCAACCACCCCCACTGCTATTTTTAAGTGCAGGGACACTGACATAAGGGACGCGATGGTGCTTTAAATAAATAAGCTCTTGGAGCATGTGTAAAAGTGCCCAAGGACTACTACCTATAGGCTCTTTCTTGTGAAGGTAAAATCCATATACAGAAGAAAAACTGCCTTTAAAAAAAATCCATAAAGTAGGGTGTGTCTACACGAGATGCTTTACTACACAATAAACTAATCTACTGCGCAGTAAAGCATCACTGTCTACACGTGTACAACATTTACTGCACAGTAAATTAGTCTACTGTGTAGTTGGCTACCACCTGTATATACACGTATTAGATTTACTGCATAGTAGCACATGTGTAGACAGCTGACTGGGAGCAAACTGCTCCTAGTCAGCGCAGAGAGCAGGGGGCAGGGGAACTGCCCAGGGCAGGAAATTGTGTCCCAGCCTCCACTCCAATCTCAGAGCCGGAGCCCGGCAGGAGTCAACTGCCTGGGACAGGGATGATGGGCTGGGAGGAAGCTGCTCCCCTAGAGCCCAGACCTTACTCTGATGTCCCCTGCCAGGCCAGGGCTGGCACCTGGGGGAGCCTGCAGTTCCCCCCACCCCCTCAGCTGCTGTAGGGGGACAGAAGAGGGCAGGAGTAGCCCTGCACTTAACTGCTCCTGTCAGAAGCGAATTTGCTCCCAAGGGGCACCGGTGTAGATGCGCTCCCAAAAAATACTGCGTATTTTACTGTACAGTAAGCTTACAGAGCATTAATAGCATGTATACATGCACCTGCACAGTCAAATAAGAGCACTCTCTTATCACTCTAACATTAATGTGAAAATGGAAGAATATGATGTAGATTTATTTTTTTCTTTTTTAAGGAGAGAAAGTGTATTTACAGTTTTATTAATTATCTTTTATGTTGTTAAAATGAATGGCCAATATTTCTGGTTGGGTGAAGAAACCAACAGCCAGAATATACTAAGTACCCTGATGAAATTAATTCAGATCAGTAAGCTATAAATTTGGAGAATGCTGCTAGGACAGTTTACTCCTAGGAACTCTAAATACATAACATGCACATAAAGTAGGATAATGTGGAAATTTGAGAAGAGGCTGCTTACTTGCTGTAGGTCTCCAGTAGAGAAACTGATAATAACCGTTGGAATCACCATAAAAAAAGCATTATAGTAAAGGACTCCATATTTCCCCAACTCCTGTGAAAGATGAAACAAACCTTTTGGAGATTTGAAGCATGTTAGGCAATAACAACCTAACCATTGCTCTGGTGGTCTATTTATGACTAGGCATAACTCAATGCAGCACAACTGAAATAATAGAATCACAGTCTTTACACTTAAAGTCTTTAATCACTGTGATGAACTACCATTTCAGTCAGCATGTCTGCACACTCAATTCTGTACTGGCTCATGTTCAGGAGTATATAGCCCCAATCACAGAGCTAGAACTTTAATTAAGTCCATATCCTGAACTTCTTTTTGACAGCTGGTGAATTCTGGAACGTAGCCTGGTGTAGCTGGGCATTGGAAGAACCACTAGATCTTGTACAGGGTAAGGACTCGGGAGTAGCCTGAGCTAGCACTCAGATGGCACTTCATTAGGATTGGGAGACCTACACAGCAGGATGAGCATGTGATGGTAGCACATATAGACAGACATTTGCTAGCTAAAATGTACCTAGCAAGAGTAAAAATAGTAATGAAGGCATGGCACTATTGGCTTCAGCATGGGATGGCAACTAATGTACAGCCCTGACAAGAGACCAGTGTATATGTTGAGCTCATGCTGCTGTGTTTTCACTACTCTTGTTATATGTATGGAGCAAGCTCTGGATCCAGCATGTGGAGTGGGGGTGGAAGGGAAAAGAATGGGGACTGTGGGCCCAATGCAGCCCATGGGGCTGGTTCCACACCACTAATTCAACCCGTGGGCTGGTCCTCCTGGAGCCAGAGGAGTTTGACACCCCTGACATAATATAATACCATGTTCCACTCCACTATTAAGGGTGAACTGGGTAAAAGTCAAATATATTAATTCCCTCTATGCAGCCTGAAATTTTCCCTAGGCTAACTGTAATAAAGATCATGTATGTAACTAGAGTATGAAAGCCATGAAACTCATTATATTTGTTAAAATCTGGTGTTACTTGACACTCATCTAGTCATGTTATAACAGAAGATAAGCACTTTCCTTTGTTATATGCAAAAAATAAAAATACGCCCCCTCTAAAATCTGTTCATCACAAAGTTACCTTTGGATCAATTTTCTGTTTTGTGTAAACTCCATTTGCTGCTGTGAAGATATCGTTTAGCAATACAAAGGTATAGCCTTCCAAATTAAAAGCAAGATCTGATCTGAAAAACATGAGGTTATGTTATTTATATATATATATATGTAAAAAATACATATTTTTTGCATTCTATTGTCTGCAGATATATTTATAGATAAAAAAGTCAAACCTTGAAAACCTCAGCAAATTCAAGGCCTTACCAGCAGTTGTCTTACAAATAAGTCAGAACAATAAAGCAAATTTTCAAGAACTAGCACAAAAAAAAGAAAAAAGAAAAGAAAAGAAAAGCTGATAATAATGTTCCATTCCACTTTTGTATAGAATTTCACCTGGCTCAGTGCTAACAACCTGTCCCATAACTGCCAAACTATTTCTAACAGGTAATAACCAAAAAACTATTGTTATAAGTAAAATCAGGCAGGCAGTAACTGTTTCTTCTATTTTATTTGTCACAATAGATAAATTATTTCATACAATTGTGGATGCACTAAGGTTATGCCAGATGGAAAATACTAATCTAATTATAACTCATATTTTGTATATAACAAACTAAAACTTAGGACTTACATTACAGAATTGCAACTTCCCAAAAAGAAGTGTCAACAGGAAAAGTAGAGGAAATAGTAGAATAGATGAACCCCCAAAATATTAATCTATTTGAACTTGTCCAAATGTATATGAATTGTGGCCACTTAATAACGTTATGCATACAGTTAGTGTGAAATGTCGCCCACTCTAACAAGGACTCAAGTATTTTTTCCTATGATTGACATTGTTGTATTCAGTGTTACAGTACAGAAAACTTGCTGTCATAACATATGCTTAGCTTGCTGTGTTCTTTATATTCTTGGGTATATCCCAAACCTAGCATTGCAAAATATTATTCCATTAGGACTAGACTTTGGATTTCTATTTCATGGCTGCCATTGACTTTAGCAGATGTACTATCTGAGGTAATTTCATTAATAGGATTTTTACTCAGATTTGGTTCTTAGTTAAAAAAAAGCAGTGTAGATAAAACACTGAAGACATTTATTGAGAACAAATAAAAGACTTACCCAGCTGCTATGAAGGCCCCAAGAATGATGGCAAATACACTGACTATAATACTCAGTGGATATCTCTTCCTGTAAACAAAAAACACAGTCCATATTTAGTTAGAGAGGAAACATAATGGCACTCAGTCAACTTGTGAGATTTCAAAGCAATTAACTTTTGGAAAAGAATTAACTGGGAAACAATTAAACCGTGACCGTCTTAAAGAAGGCGAAGCTCTCACTGACCTCAGTGAGGGTCCTGCATGTATAGGACTTCTAGGATTTGGGCCACAAAAATATAAAACCACCAAAGTAATGGAAACTACAGTCAGATAAGCCTCTTATTAACAGGGATCCTAGTTTTCTCTGTTAAAAAAAAAACCCAACAATTTTCAGATAAAAATAACAACCCCCAAATCCACATTTTTCCCTGATTAAAATGAAACACTATATACCATTTTTTTTTTTTGAGAGAGAGAGAGATAACCTAAAAATATATATATAGTGCTGTTTCATTTTTTATATATACATAAGTGGTAATATAGGAATATATATATTTTATACCAATGTATAACATATAGTGGTATAATATAAATATTATATATATATACACACCACTGTATGTTATATATTGGCATAAAATATATATATATATATATATATATTTCTATATTACACCAGTATTTTATATAAAAAAAACGAAACAGCACTATATACTATATATATTTTTTTGGGTTCTCTCTCTCTCTCAGTCTCAAAAAATATATATAGTATATAGTGGTGTTTTATTTTAATCAAGGAAAAAAATTTGGATTTGGGTTGGGTTTTTTTAATCTGAAAATTGGGGGTTTTTTGAGATGCCACAAACTGCACATTTCCACTCGTGAGGATGTGGCCTTAGTGCCCAATCACAGAAACTGCTCCAAACAGGCAGATGCTGAAGCCCAGATGTAGCTTCCCTGCAGCCCATGGGACTGCAGAAATCTGATCAAACAGAGCAGTTTTCTGGGTCAGCTTAGAATGTAACTGTCTAACAAGAGGCAAGTTTTTTGGGGAGGTTGGGATTTTTTGTAATATCATTCATTGGATCAACTACAGAGTTGGGAGAGATGTTGGACAATCGTTTGGGCACAAAGTGTGTTCTTCAGTCTGGGAAAGAAGCAGACACAGGCTAAGCTAACCAATAGAAAAAAATGGTTTGTGTTTAACTCCGTGTTACTGAAAGCTGTTACTTAAGGAACGGAAGAAGGCTATGAACTGTCTAATATATATATGTATGTATATATGTACAGTAGTGTTTCATTTTAATCATGGAAAAATGTGGATCTTTGGGTTCCTTTTTTTTTTTTTTTAATATGAAAATCGAGGATTTTTTTTATCAGAGAAAACCAGGATCCCTGCAGATTACTAATGCTCTAATACTTTTGGGCTCTGTAAGCATGGATTCATACATATCTCGTAAACTGTCAAAGTACTCTGCTCCTGAATAATTTCCAATGTAAAGCCAAAAGGTACACATTTCTAAGGTGGTGGATATTGGGAGAAAATGTATTCTAGTCTATGCAGGTGCTTAGACTTCAATCAGGACTGTAGTCTCTTGAATTCCTTCCAACAGTCTATCAAGGAATGTGGCTGGACATCTATCACTTGTGATCATTGTCTTTGCTTCCAGAGGAAGCGGCGTGTACAAAAGAGTAGTATCCTTTTATTATGTAATATATATAAAGTTTTTTTGCTATATAGTCATGTTAAAAGTAGGTAAGGTCAAAAAAATTGTTTACAATTGTTTTTTCTTCTTGGGAAATGAATTTGAGAGACTAAGGCTGGGCCCCAAAAAGGCTCCACCTCCCACATGGAAAAGCTTTACTTTTCTTTGAGAGAGGTCTGCGGTGCTAGAGAAGTGAAGTTGTTGACCACAATCTTAACTCCAAGCTTTAGGCAAGGTTTTATATATGCCAGGTCCAGACCATGGAGTACCTTGGAAGAGAAAACCTCAAAACTTCACTGGAAATTCTGTGGAGAGCCAGCATAAAATTAAAATAGCTTTGGTTGCTGAGAAGTGCTGTAGCATTCTGTACTGATCTGAGTTTCCCAAGCACTTCAGCCCAGGTATATCACATGGCTGCAGCCCAGCCAAGAAGTAATGACCTGGCCTCCGTTTCATCATTAGCCAGAAGTAGATGGAATCTCTTATTAAACCAGAAATGATAGCAAAATCTAGGAGTAGTAACTTCAGTGTGAGAACTTAGTGTCAGAAAGAATTCGAGAGTGCTCTTAAACAATGGCTGTAAAGACTTCAAGATGCTCTCTTCTGCCCATCAGTATTACCTCTGTTTTCTTTGGATTTATCTTCAGCCAGCTGTTTTTCATTCATGCACAGGACTTGTCCAAGTAGTGGACTATCTTGGTGGTATTGTTGTAGTAATTTGTGGTAGATTAGCTAGACCTTTCAGTTCTGATCTCAGTTTGATTTGATCTACTGACTTTGGGACTTGTAATTACAAACCTTTAGTTTATTTTACACCAAATGACACATTTATTTGTAAACAGCTCGTCTGAGGGATGGTGTTTAAGTAGATTGGTAAATGCCATTTTGTCTTGTTAGACAGTAGTACAATTGCAGTGTTATCGTAGCTGTCACAGTCCAGGAAATGTCCAAGAGACAAGTTTTTCTTTTTGTGGTATCTTTTATTGGACCAACTGTAGAGTTGGAAGAAAAGATGTACAAGCTTTTGGGTACAAAGTGCCCTTCTTCTAGTCTGATAAAGAAGTAGGGACAAGGTAAGCTCAACAGCAGAAAAAATGGTTTGTGTTTAACTCCATGAAACTGAAAGCACTCAGTTAAGCAGTGAAGTAAAAAGAAAGGAGGTTGATCAGAAGCAGTTTTAAAATAAGGGAAATGCAGTTGAATAGTTAACCTAATTACTAATTATATAGAAAGACAAGACCATTCAAGACAGAGGTGGTCAATGTTACCTACTGAATGCAGAGAAGTTGGCAGAGATAGTAGGTAAACTGTAACTAGCCATAAAACCACTGTTCATGTTTACTCCATTGTTTTAGTTTCCAGTAAAGGTATACACTTTTGTTCCTAAGCCCATATTTTGAAGGATTTTGATAGATTTCCCTTGAGGAAGAGGACTGTAAGGTCAGAAAAGGAGTGGTTTTTTTATGTATAGTATTCTCCTGCAGGCAAGTGTGTATCTCTGAATCTGTATTTCCCTTGTTTTGAAATACTTCTGATCACCACTGTTTGCCCTCACTTCATAGCCTTCCTTCATTCCTTAAGTAACAGCTTTCAGTAACATGGAGTTAAACACAAACCATTTTTAATACTGGTTAGCGTAGCCTGTGTCTGCTTCTCTCTCAGACCAGAAGAACACAATTTGTGCCCAAAAGATTATCCAACATCTCTCCCAACTCCATAGCTGGTCCAATGAATGATGTCACAAAAAATCCCAACCCCCCAAAAAACTTGCCTCTTGTTAGACAGTTACATTCTAAAGCTGACCCAGAAACCTGCTCTGCTTGATCAGATTTCTGCAGTCCCATGGGCTGCAAGGAAGCTACATCTGGGCTTCAGCTTCTGCCTGTTTGAAGCAGTTTCTGTGATTGGGCACTAAGGCCACATCCCCATGAGTGGGAACGTGCAGTTTGCGGCACCTCAAAGCCTTGAGGCGCCGCAAAATGCACATGGCGCATGTTAATCTGTTCGCTGTGTTACGTGTTTGCAGTGTGGCACCAAAACTATATACCAGGAAATCCATCTAAAAAAGTCATGCCCAAAAACAAGCAGTGCAGTGTGTGCGCCACCAGAAACCAGAGCCTGCCCAGCCAGAGATACACCAGCTGCTGGACAGATGGGCGTTGCTGCTGGCCCTGGCCCCAGGCTCCCATACCCGACCCAGAGCAATTTGCTGTGCGCCAGAGTGCTTGTGCAGGAGCATGCCTGGGGACAACTAGCAGCAGCACAAATACGTATCACTGTTAGTTGTCCTTGGGTAAACGCACATTCCCACTTGTGGGAACATGCCCTAAATGGCTTAAAATACCATATTTTAGCCAATCAAAACTCACTGGGTCCCATTCTGCTTGCCTTATTCATGTGAAGGAGTCAAGTGAATTAGGGCAGGCAGAAATATTTTCTTGTATCTACATGTATGTGATTTTATGAATCAGCAATTTCATGAATAAGCAATTCCTAACTGCTTTCTAAACTATTTGATCTATTCTATTACAGGGATGGGCAAAATGCAGCCCGCCAGACCATTCTATCCAACCTGTGGGGCCCTTAAAAAAATTTAGAAAAGTAATATTTATCTGCCCCCAGTCACCTGTCATGAGGCCCTCAATGGCTTGCCAAAACTCAGTATGCAACACTCTGCCCAAAATAATTGATCGTCCCTGTTCTATTAGCTAATGAGAATGAGGCATCCAATAAAGTGATCACATGTCAAAAATACCCCTTTTGGTATGACATAAAATAAAGGTATTTTAAAATGGAAAAAACAGATCACCCAAGTATGATGATTTCCAGCAGTAAGGTGAGTGGAATGGTAAACTTCCTGAGCACTGTAAACATCGGCAAACTGTCAAAAAAAATCCAAGCACAGGGTCAGATGCACAGCATTCTTATTTTTTAATCCTTATCTATTTTTACTAAGCAGAGGATGAAATTATTAGACCAGCTTTAAATTACCAGAACAAATTCTCAGCCTCTTAACATACACAAAAATGTCAGTCTGACACTAGAGTCAGTTTAGATAACAGAATAACTTGAAATAATGAGGTTTGCCAGTTTTTTAAAACAAACAAAGAAGCCGCTACCTGTTACAAAGTCTCCTCTGTGTCAGAAAAGGAGGAAAGAAAGAGCAGTGGCTATTTTCAACCTCTGCCGAATACCATCTACATGAACTGAAGCCTACAGAAATCCTAGAGGTCATACAAATACGTAAATTGAGGACCCTTATTTTAATGTTTAAAGACAATCAGTGATTGCTGAATTTATTGAATTTCACTTACTTTAACTTTACGATTTCTATAGACGTATAATAAAAAATACAAGGAATTGTACTTTAAGAATGAGTTCTAGATGTAGAAAACACACAAATATGGTGCATATTAGAAACAAGGAAGGTGATGCAACCCTGCCCATAAAACAAATGACAGTATTGCATTTGAAAAGCAGATTGTTAGAACTCACTGAATGCTGTATTTGGGGGGCCTTCTGCATTTACTGATAATGCCCTTGAAGCTGACATTTTGGAAATCTGACAGTATAGCCATCTGGACCAATTAATCTCATTTACAACATAACAACTAACAACAGTGTTAAATCATGCTACAAATCCCAGCTTGTGATTTAAAAATCTTACAACTCACTGAAAGATGGTCTTATATAAATAAAACCTATATTTGTCTTCTGGACATATCCTTTCAGAAACACTACATGAAGTGGAAAATTCTGAATTATAAATAAAAGATTAGCAATAAGAATACTGCATTCATTCTTACTTTTATCACATGAAAAGATAAGGAATGATTTTAAATAGTAAATCTAAAGGAATACTTTGACAGAAGGAGAGGAAGATTTTGCATTTGGAATTATAATAAACAAAATCCTTTCAATTTCAGAATAGCAACAATTTGTGAAAGAGCAAAACTCTGTTAGACTTCACTGAAAACATTTGCTTTAGCTAAGGAGTTATTGACAGCCATATTGTTGTGGTTTATAAAACAGTACTGAAAGGAACAGTCACTTCAAAGGGACAATTTGTGTGTACATGCAATGGAGCATGAATAAAAGCTACAAGAATCAGGTCTCTAATCTTCTGTAAAAATCATTTGTTTTATTAAAAGAAATAAATATTAGGCTCCACATAGCCATTCAAAATTATAAAACAGATATCTGAACCCAATATGATACCCACTTGTAATGTTGTAAACCTTGTAAAAGTTTACAACGATAATTAAACTTCTTTTCAAGGTACCAGAAGTAGTCTGACATATTGCTTAACTTTCCATTCATGATCAATCATACAGATCACTCTCCTCCCACAAGCAACTGAACACCATTCAGCAAAAACAATTGTTTATACTGGGAAAAGATATTTTAGGAAATTGCACATATATTTTTAGCTGCCTTCAATGTAAGAAGTATCTAGTGCCTTTAGAAAAAAGCTCACTGCCCAGTCTGCTCTCTTCTGCATATCATCCCTTTCTCCCATCTATTCTGTTTCCGCCAAAAATAAGGATCACCTAGCATAGCTCCACAGATAATCTGACCCCAGCACGCTTTCCTGCCCAGGGCAGGGGATTGGACTCAATGACTTAACTGAGGTCCCTTCCAACTCTAACATCTATGAATCTATTAATTGGAATTTGGAAATTTTCAGTAACATGATCCAAGGGTAGACTGCTATCTCAGATGCTACTATAGTCTTGCTACCCTCAGGTGCTCCTACTCCCCTGGAAGACTGCTCATTTAATCCATACAGTTTATCCTCTAGTCTATGTTCTCTTCATAAACCCTTTCTCTGTCTTCATACCAGTGGCTCAACCATCCAGAAGAGTGCTCAGCAGTGGAAACACGTTACAGGTTTCCTTTGCTTTATGCTGTACATGCGTTCCTGGAAAACGGCACATAACTCGAATTCGTAAAAGGAAACCCACTTTACAATGTAACAAATATGGATACGTTCCAAGACCTTGATTGTACTGACCCCCAGACCCATTTCTACCACTTTTACAAGACAATTTAGGTACTCACCAACAGCAGACAGTACATACAAACACCGGATGGTGGTGAATGTTACCTTAACGGGGATGACAACTACAGAAACAAGTGTCGCAGATAACGAGTGAGGAGCAAAGATCCACACAGGAGACTATATTTTGGTGCGTGTCGCTCCCACAATGCACCGCACAAAGTAGCTGACAGCGGGCTTTCACCACACTGATCACATAAGAATGAGTTTACCTCACATATAATGAATTTTTGGTATAAAAAGGGTCATCACGTAAGAGCCAATTTGCAGATACAGAACACGCAGAAAGCGAGCGAAACCTGTAATTGGTGCAAAGAAGCTGTGTTTATGCATCCTCTCAGTACAGAAAATACTAATACAGCAAAAGCTTTGTTAACCGGCACTTTATTAGCTGGAAAGCTCTACTAAGCAGCATCCGAGGGACACAGTAAAAGCAAAACCGGAAGTACCACTTCCGAGGACTTCCGGTTTCATCGCCTGAGCGGAGTTCTTCTTTGTTACTTCTTCGGCCCACGGCTCAAGGGAAAGCAGCCTGTGCAGGGCCTCCTCCCTGTCCCCCGGCACACTGATGCTGGGGAGTGCACCAGACAGTGCACATTTGATTAACCATGTTACAGGGGTGTAGCTTGTAGCCATGTTGGTCTAAGGACATAGGCAGACAAGGTTCTTTGGGTGAATCTGATATCTTTTATTAGACCAACTAAATAGCTGGAGAACAATTTTTAAGCAAGCTTTCGGGTTCAAAAACCCTTCATCAGGCTCAGGAAGTTTCAGCAGTTGATATGTGCTCTTCCTGGATGGAATGAAAAGTAAAAAAGCCAGAGGCTGTGCTGGTATGCATACACTTATGCATCTACATTTCCACTGACTGCCTGTCTTATATGCATACCAGCACAGCTCTGGCTTTTTTACTTTTCATTCCATCCAGGAAGAGCACATATCAACTGCTGAAACTTCCTGAGCCTGATGAAGGGTTTTTGAACCCGAAAGCTTGCTTAAAAATTGTTCTCCAACTATGTAGTTGGTCTAATAAAAGATATAAGATTCACCCAAAGAACCTTGTCTGCCATTTGATTAACCAGCATATTTGATTAACCGGTATCCCCCATTCTTGGGGGATCCTGGATAACAGAGCTTTTACTATACTTCTAAAATGCAACTCATAGTTCGCAAACTGATCTGATGCTTTGGTTGAGACTTTCCAACCAGTGCAGGAAATTTAACCATACATCACTGATTAAAAATAAGAAGCACCTCTGCAGTGCTTTGAAATTCTTAATCTTAAACTTATACTTTGAACCTACAAACATATATATATAAAAAGCAAACAGCTTACCTATGCCCTGTATTTACTGTACCTTAGTTTCCTGGTACTTGATAATCCACTTATGTGATTTCCAACATAAATCAAAGGCAGAGGGAACAACTGCAATGAAGTCAGAGTACAATTCAGATTAGACCTATACTTTAAATTAGAGATGACGAACTTTATTTAACATATGTAATTTCATGAATGTACAATTCCCTACTTCCTGAAATAACTCAGTTATCTTGTTAGGTTATTTTTCTTAAAGAAAAGAAAAAACAGCAATTGCTTTGTAAACTAATCTATACCCATTGAACTCATTGACTTAGAACTTCATTTTGTATTAACTGGCCTGAATGCTTTTATTGATTCCAATGAAACTATGCTGAATTCCAGCAGCTGACTATTTATCCAATATGGAGTATCTAAAACAGTTCAGCAATTGAACTGGTCTCACTTATAAAACTGATCCTTGGTTGTTAGCCTAGTTCCACTGTTTGCATTTAGATGCAACTAAGATAGAAAGAAAGTGTTAACTGTGCAGTTATGGGAACTCTATATACTAGCATGTATAGGAAAGAGATTATTTTAAAACCTAACTATTGAGAGTACCTAATAAGCTCCTTAATTATTGAGGTTGGTGTGAAGAACAATTAAACATTTAGAGCCTACCTAGTCATCAGGGTAATGTCTACCAGAATGGGGTCCTTCCTCTAACAGAAGCCTTTAGGCCCTACCACAATAGAAATAAATTATAAATAGACTGAGTCTGGCCCTAAGAATATGGACAAGATGTTACGGACCCCTATAGGGGCCAGGTAGAATTCCAAATCTTTATTCTTCTGATACAGAAAGGTCACTGGAGACAAATGCCAAAAGAGCTAGGCAAAGAAGATAATCTGGAGCCATGGCCCAGCCCCTTCTTAGCATCAGCTAACAGAGCTGGACTGACAGATAGGGAAAAATAATTTGCACCGTGGAGGAGATTGAAAGCAGTAAAGCTGGTTTCTGCATGTGTCAAATGGAGAAATGTGCCTGCCTGAAGCTATAGACTTTTAAAGCTCTCTGTGACCAAAAAGTGCACAAAGACACATGCAACATCTCAGAAATTTTGTCATTTGTTTAGGTACAGAGTGAAAATGGAAACAAATGCCAAGGGAAAGGGAATATAATTTCACTTACTATAATGATAAAATCACAGCTAACTTCAATTTATCAAGCACAACCCCAGCAGACACTGAAATACTGCTTAACAAGGGCTAAGAACTATGAGGTCTTATAATCAAAACCAGCACTTTGCAGACACAAATCTCAAACTGAAAGTCTAATTTATTTAAACAGATCTTTAATTCAGAGATTGTATCTCAGTTGTGCCTCCCCTCCCCTCAAGTACAGAGGGGATGAGAGTACATGGCACCATCATTTTGTGGCCTGAGCAAGAACAACTCAGTGACAAACTAGGCTAGGAACAGTAAGTCCCAATAACACAAGAATACATGAAAGCAAATGGGAATTTTTGCTACTGTTAATTATTCCAGGCAAAGTACACTATGCATTTTAAAAGGTAAAAGAGTCAACAAAGACAAATACAGCTGACTCACTGTGACTAGGAAAATCCAGTCCACTATAGCTGGTACATAACTGTGGAACTGTTGCTACCCTGTCACAAGATAATCCTTTGACAGTTTGCTGGGATGTCTTTAGAAGAAAATGGGTAATACATTTTTTAAAAATCTCAGACATTAAGAACATAGGGTTGAAGAAGCATGTTAGGAGAGAATGGGAACAGAGAATAAGATCACCAACACGTTTGTGCAGCTTGCTCCGCTGCACTTTAGAAACAAAGCTGCTTGTGGTTTCTTCTGCAACCACGTTAAGGAGAAAAGAAAATGTCCTCTCTGGCTATAACTGGCTTTAGAGACTTCTTTCTATGCATGGTAGGGTCCTTGGGAGCTAAATGCACACAGGACTCCCTTAGTTGTGCCATGCTAATTCTTATGCCCTACACAGAAAAGCTGTTCAACTGGTGGCCTGCAGAGCTCATCAGTGTGCTACCAGAGCTCCTGCACTGGTCCAGCTCCAGAACCCAAAAAGTTAATACAGCCACCACTCGCCAACCCACCCCTTTGCCTGCTGCCTAATTTGGGGCTTTGGTCAATCTGCCACACTACCACAAGAGGTAAGTCATCTAGCTTGTGAGAAGCCCCATGGCCCAGATCAGGCCCTCAAAGCCAAATAAGTTGAACAACCCTGCCCTACAGGAAAAATAATTCCATAATTAAGACAGCAGGTTGAGATACAAGAAATCTGGGTTTAATTCTCAGCCATGCTTCCTGTGTGACCTGGGACAGACCAAATTAGACCACAAACCTATAAGATGTATGTAGGCAGATGCATGAGTTGATGCAAAGTCCCAATGATTTCTGTGAGGTTCCCAATGGATGCAAGATTCTGCCTATTATCCTTTCACTTTAGAATGCTACCTCCATTGCTCCCTGCCTTAGTTCACAGACTGAGATAAGAGATCTTTTCTCCTGCTCTGTTTGTCTTGCTTGTTTAGACTATAAGTCCTTGAGTACAGAATCTGTCTCTACTCATGTACAGCATCTAGCATAATAGGTCTCAAATTTGGTCAGGGACCTAGGAACCAATATAATATATCATCAGAGTATTTCTGATTACTGAAGAATTTGAGTAATCCTGACTGAAAGCAACAGAAGTTACCTTTGTCTTACAACAGAAAAATGAGCATTCACTTTGGCTCCACTGATCACAGTGGAGCCAAAATCTCACATTCAGCATTTAAGGACTCACAAACAAAGCAATAATTAAACACTACTTTTGTACTGTTGTGTAAATATTAAGGCAATATTCCTCTAGCTGCTCCTTATAATAGGCCAGAACATTTTATTATTACATCAAACACAGATCTTCACTTGACACCTGCAAAAAAATCTGTGCATGCAGGGAAAGCAAAATGCTGAAGTCATATTATGAGGCTGACCTAAGGAGGTATTATTGCTATCAAAAATAGTATCCCAAGCTCCAAAGCCCCCACTTCTTGATACCAAACAGAAACTAGAGTTTGGTTATACACTGTAAATCTTGCTGTTAAATTCAAGACTGTTATAATAAAACTAAATGATTGATTTACGACAGATTAATGAAACAAAAGTATAAAATAATCACATTTGGTAGCAGAGAGCTAGGAAATTAAACATTTGTTAGTTTTCTGTTACAGCTTTTCTCCAGAGAAAACATCTTTGAAAACCTGTCATAAAAACACTGTTAACAATTTAACTCCAAACCCAAACAATGTTCCTACCTTCACAGGGATACTTTTGTCAAAATCAGGAAAGTGAATAATTTTATTTAGTTTTGATACATATAGGATAAGTATGGTAGTAGCCATCTAAAAAAAAGAAGGAAAGAAAAAGGCAAGAAACACATAAGAACAAAAGGCTACTTTAAACTGATAAAATGCATATATATCAATAGCTTTCAAGACAAGTTCAGGATACATATTTGATAAATACTAGACAATATGGCTAGGTACAGACATTCAAAAAGCCCAATGCAGAACTGATCTAAGTTACGCGGTTTTCTGTAAGTGGTGTACTTTAGATGGGTAGTGAACAGAACACACAATTTGCCCTTTAGTAGTGGGGCAGGAGTGGGGGTAAATCTTAGACTTGGTTCTACCATTTTTAAACCGGTCTATGCATGCCGAACTTCTGTTCTGTTACAGGTATAGATGGTTTCTGATCACTTATATCAACAAATATGTAATGTCTGTCCCTGGCCTATGTCAGTCAGGTGTTTCTTTCAAAGAACATTTTGGAGCACAGTGAAACGGCTGGCATCTTTTTCTTTAGGACCAATTTTGACTGTCACCTAATTGAAACAACAATACAAATGTGATATGCTTTACTGGCTAGAACAGCGGTGCTCAAACTTCTGGCCCCTAGGCTGGATGAGTGGCGCAGGACCAGACCCCAGGCTGCATCCCACATGCCAGAGTCAATCTGCTCAGGGTTGGCTCATGGGGACAGTTCACAAGGGAATTCCACAAAGGAAACCTCATAACCAAATTTATGATAAAGACTGTAAATGCTTTTGCAGAACTGAGATGGCTCCTACATTCTTTACCTTTGTTAAAACAAATCATTCCTCAGAATTTGTCTATTTTAGAACAGTATTATTGTGCTATATGACGATTCTTTCCTTCTAATGTTCCTTTACATTAAAACACTACAAATTTCTTTATCAGTCCTACCTACAATATAAGTTGTATTGTTGAACATACCTGCCCAATTCCAAGAAACATTGGAGACGGGAAGCTGAAACGAAGAGACAGTTATAAACATACATCCTCAACACAAAGAAAGCAGGAGGTGTCTAAAGTCTAGCTTCTAAATCTATAATTACTCACCTAAATGCTTAGCCAAATTTTCAACATTGCTGAACAACCAGCAACTCTAACTGAAGTCCCCCAAATCTCTGTACTCTTATAACTAAAAAGAAAGATTCCTCCAAGAAAGCAATGGCTAATTTTAAGTACTCACTATACCACAGGTAACCAACTATGATCAGTACAACCAAATCTGAGAATTTTAAACATACATTTTATAATGTCATTTATACTTCCTTATTGGTAGTTCTTTGAAGTGTATACTCCCATAAATTGTGTATTCAGTTAAAATTTCTGTAGATATTTACAGATGGAAGCTTATCTCTACAGATACATTGTCCAGAAACAATTATTAAAGGAAACTATATATATGCAGAAACTTTTCATAACTCCCAGGAAAAGACTCAGTGACAACAACCTTGGGGCTGTGAGCTCAGTGTTCCAGACCATTTTAACAGGCAATTCTCTGTGGTGTTTTTCTCTCCTTTTTTCTGTCCTGCTATGTCTAGTTTCAGCCTAAAGCACAAATACTTGAATGGAAAAGATGACAGTTTTAGCAAAGTGTTTGTAGGATCACAGAGAGCCTCCACATTTTTTTTTACTAAAATCCAGGTTAAGTTAATTAAAATTAACTTTTTTATTCTTTTTTATTTTTAAGTTAAGGTACTAATTCTCCCTGGGGAGATTGATATAAAAAAGATAATATGGCAACAAATTCCCACACGCGCCTCTTGCCCCATAAACAACAGATTAGAACCTCTGGCTTACTGAGTCACTATTTTCCTGCATGCACTTAGCCTTTTGCAGGAAAGGCTTTGCTAAGGGTTGGTCTAATACACAAACATGAATCACAATAATGATTTAGTGTTTTCACTGCAAGTCTATATGTAAAACCTTCACAAAGTATTCTTAACAAATCTTCTAGGTATGCAGGGTTCCACTACCCCATAAGGAAGTGATTATACATCACAGCAAACACCAAGAACTATTCAAGCACCGCTAAGAAGCCTAGGAACTATCATTTCAGCTGAATGACATCAGGATGAGAATGCAGTATTAGCGAAACAGGAGCAGTAAAAAATGTCATAATCATACCGGAGATATAACATTGATAAAGTATCAGAAAACCCTAGCAAAGAGAAAGACTCCTGAATCTCTATTTCCTGGAAACACACAGAGGAAATGATAGGCATTTATAGCTATGCTGCATACAAATTGTGTTGAGCCTGTTTTTTAGTATTCATCAGCATCAGGGGTGGATTGGGGGGGGGGGG